CCTCGGCCCCCCCGGCCTCCCGGACCCAGCAGCCCCCGCTCCCCCCCAGGTGGACACGCACATCCACGCCTCGTCCTGCATGAACCAGAAGCACCTGCTGCGCTTCATCAAGCGGGCGATGAAGCGGCACCTGGAGGAGATCGTGCACGTGGAGCAGGGCCGCGAGCAGACGCTGCGCGAGGTCTTCCAGAGCATGAACCTCACGGCCTACGACCTGAGCGTGGACACCCTCGACATGCACGCGGTCTGTCCCAGCGGCGGGGGCCGGGGGGCCGGGTCGGCATGCAGGCGAGGGGCCAGGGGTGACCTGCCCGTCTCCCCCAGGACAGGAATACCTTCCATCGCTTTGACAAGTTCAATGCCAAATACAACCCCATCGGGGAGTCTGTCCTCCGAGAGATCTTCATCAAGACGGACAACAGGGTTTCTGGGAAGTACTTCGCTCACATCATCAAGGTGAGGTGCTGTGGCTGCCAGGGCCCAGCCATGGGGGCGGCCCTCCCCCTGCCTGAGCGAGAGCCTGGGTATCTGGGCTTCCTGGGGGTGAGGCGGGTGGGTCAGGGGCTTGAGGAGGCCTGAGTGAGCACGCGTGGTAGTGGGTGCGGACGGGGGCAGCTGGAAGCCCGAGTGTGACAGCTGCCCCACGCGTGTCTCTAGGACAGCCGTGGGCAAACTACGGCCCGCGGGGTGGATTCGGCCCGTTTGAAATGAATAAAACTAAAAAAAAAAAAGACCATACCCTTTTATGTAATGATGTTTACTTTGAATTTATATTAGTTCGCACAAACACTCCATCCATGCTTTTGTTCCGGCCCTCCGGTCCAGTTTAAGAACCCATTGTGGCCCTCGAGTCAAAAAGTTTGCCCACCCCTGCTCTAGGAGGTGATGTCGGACCTGGAGGAGAGCAAATACCAGAACGCGGAGCTGCGGCTCTCCATCTACGGGCGCTCGAGGGACGAGTGGGACAAGCTGGCACGCTGGGCCGTCACGCACCGCGTGCACTCCCCCAACGTGCGCTGGCTCGTGCAGGTGCCCCGTCTCTTGTGAGTGCCTTGGAAGTGGGGGGGAAGATGGGGCAGAGACCAAGGGCGAGGGCCTGCCTCCTGGGATGGCGGACGGTCTCCTGTCCCTGCTGAGCCCTCTCAGTAGGAGGCCCTTCCTGCGTCTGCTCACGGTCTGCCCAGCCCGGCCCACCCCGTAGGTCCACGTGTGCTTCTGTGGTCTCGGGCCGGCTCCGGCCTTTCCTGGCTGCTGGTGCCTTCACCTGACCTGCCCTGCCCGCCCCTGTGTGCCCCTGCCTCGCCTGCAGTGACGTGTACCGTACGAAGGGCCAGCTGGCCAACTTCCAGGAGATGCTGGAGAACATCTTCCTGCCGCTGTTCGAGGCCACCGTGCACCCCGCCAGCCACCCGGAGCTGCACCTCTTCTTGGAGCATGTGAGGGGGCGCACGGCTGGGTGTCGGGGGAGATGGCCTGCCCCAGGCCGGGGCAGCTCGGGCCTGACCCCGGGGTCCCGTGCCAGGTGGACGGCTTTGACAGCGTGGACGACGAGTCCAAGCCCGAGAACCACGTCTTCAACCTGGAGAGCCCCCTCCCCGAGGCGTGGGTGGAGGAGGACAACCCGCCCTACGCCTACTACCTGTACTACACCTTTGCCAACATGGCCACGCTGAACCACCTGCGCAGGTGC